AAGAGAAGTGTAAAAGCGAAGAGGCAAAAGGGATAATTTATAAAAAGCTGATTAGCAACAAGCCAAGCCAAGGCATTCACAAGAAAGAATAAGACTCCATGTGTGATTTGTTTGACCCCCACAAAAGCCAAAAGAGCAAAATGAATAGAAAATGAACAATAACATCTGTGTGTGTGTGTGTGTGTGTGTGTGTGTGTGTGTGTAAACTAGCCTCCTCAAAATGATATTTTTACTTAAAACATAGCTCACAGAGCTGACTGATTTTGAGCACCATGGAACACCTTATTCTTTGGGCAGAACGAAGTGAGAAAACTCAGCAGGACCAGCTTTGCACTGTGGCTGTGTGCCACACTCTCTGAGTGTAGAGTTGTAGCTGGGAAGTGGCTGTCCATCTGGGACAGTGCCTCTAAAGGAGCTGGAGTACATGATGAGCTCCTGTCAGCATGATGTGAGTGGAAATATTCTGAGCCATCTCTACACTGTTTGATAAAAACATCCACTGCCCACTGCTTGCCAGCTGGGTGCCAATGCTAAGTCATATTAAATGTCACCTTAGTTTATCTCACTTCTTGTAACCTCAGTGAGACAAATGCTGTTGATCTGTCTTATCCCCCACCCCAGGATTTATGATTTGCTTACATATTCGCTCTTGTATATATTTTTAAAAACTATTTTATGTGTACGGGTGTTTTTTCGGCATGCATGTTTTTGTGTACCACATACACATCTGACATGCACAGAGGCCAGGAGAGGACATCAGATCCCTAGAAGTGGAGTTTCAGATGGCTGTAAGTTACTATGTGGGCACTGGGAAGGGAATTGGGTCCTCTGGAAGAGCAGCAAGAGCTCTAACCACTGATCTATCTCTTCAGCTCCTCTATGTAATTTAAGTTAAACACCTAAGAACCTAAAATAAATCATGGGAGATGGTCTGACGCATTTAGATCATGTAAAGAGCTGCTATAAAACAAGAAAACTATTGTGTTCTTTTCTGAAATGTCTATAATTACAACACCAGCCCTGAAAATGCAATGCAGAACAGATATCAGAGTGCAGGTGGGTTCATGCCAGTACCAGTTCTGTCAGTACAAACCGGATTTGTGAGATTGCTCACCCTGAGTGCTTGTATGTGTGTATGTGTGTGTACATGTGTGTATGAGTCTGTGTATCTGTGTGTAGGTATAAGTGTGTGTAGGCATGTGTATATAGATGTGTGCATGTGTGTGTAGGTGTGGATATATGTGTGTAAGCATGAATGTGTTTGACTATGCATGTACATTTGTGTGTTTATGTATTTGAGTGTTCATGTGTGTATATATACATACACTTGTAAAAGTATGTACATATGTGTGTAAATATGCATATCTGTGTATATATGTACATGTACACATATGTATGCATGGTGTGTATATGTGTTAAGTATGTGTATTGCACATTTGTGTGTATTATGTACATGTGTGTATGTGTGCATATATGTGTAGGTTTGTTTATGTGTGCATGTATATGAGTGTATATATGAATATATGTATATACATTTGTATATGTGTGTTTATGAATGTTGGTGTATATAGGTGTGTGTGTACATGAATGTTACGTGGGTATATGTATATAGATGTGTGTATGTATGTGTATTGTATTTGTGTGTATTGTGTGTACATATATTATGTGTGCATTTATGTGTGGCATGTGTGTATGTGTATGTACATGTGTTGATGAGAATGTTTAACATGGGTATGCATGTGTACACATGTGTGCTTATAAGTGTGTATGTATGACTTATATGTTTGTATTTGTACAAGTGTATGATTACATATGTACATTTGTATGTATGTGTTTGTTTACATGTATGAACATGTTTGTGTGTAAGTATATTTATGTACAAGTGTGTATGTGTATGTTTATATGTGTGTAAGCACATATTTGTGTGTGTGTGTATGTATGTGTGCCTGCAACTTCTTAGAAATGTAAAGTTCAGTCATTTCTGACTAATTCCTTGCATTTTAGTAGGTCACAGAGAAACTTAAAACCTCACAGAGCTTAAGTTTTTCCTTCAATTCTCAGAATTTCAGTGGTGAGAAAATTGCAAGCCAAATCCACCACAATTTGAACCCAAATATTTTCCTTGGGGAAGAGTATATTTTAAAAATTCTTTTAAAAAAGGCTTTAGAGTAGCTCATTCAGGAATCCCATTTCCATGAAGAATGAGATATATTGAATTTTAGAGCCCTCCCTTAAAAATGATTTGGTCCTCTTCTTGCCCTGAGGAGAGAGTGTCTTGTCAGGCTCCGTCTTACCTTTCTGCCCTGTGTTCTGTTCTCTGCATCTTGTATTCTGTACACCAGACACTCCGAACCCCTTCCTGTTTCTCGGGGGTGCCATGCTCTCTCCTCGTCCAGCTTTTGTACACACAGTTCCCTCTGCTAAAGTCCGATGTTGCCTACTTCCGCCACACCTACTCCCGCCACACCTACTTCCGCCACACCTACTCCCGCCTACTCCCACCACTCCTTTGCCTTTTCTCACTTCTCTTCATTCCCCAGATCCAAACTTGGATGTCATTTCTTCTGTGTAGTTTCTCCTTATTGTCCGTCACAGTCACGATAGGTGACCCTCCTCTGCCCACCATCAACACCTTGTATTTTAATCAGAAGACTTAATGAACCTTATAGTAAACATAGTGTAATTGTTTTTAGAATTATTCTTTGGGGGCCTGATATCCAGCTTCAGACTTATTCTTACTTATGAATAACCGGCCTTAGCTTGGCTTGTTTCTAGCCTGCTTTTCTAACTTAAATTATCCTGTTTTTCTCTAACTGTGTTTTGCCTCTGGGATTTTTAACTTTCTTTATTCTATATATCTTTGTTTCTTTCTTACTCCATGGTGGGCTATGTGACTGGGTGGCTGGCCCCTGTGTCCTCCTCTCCTACTTTTCTCACTTCTTGCTCTTCCCTAGAGCCCAGGTTTCTCCTCTGATTTATTTTCTCTGCCTGGCAGCCCAACCTATTTCTCTCTCCTGCCTAGCTATTGACTGTTCGGCTCTTTATTAGACTAATCAGGTAACACAGTTTTACAGAGTTAAACCAAAACCATGGAAGAGTGAAGCACATCTTTGCATCCTTGAACAATTATTCCATAGCAGAAATGAACGTAACGCATTTTAAACTAATATTCTGCAACAATGTAGAGTGACCTGTGTTATTCATTACATTATAGCCTTATTTTAGCTAGAATTATAACTGTGATAAAATATCATGATCAAAAGCAATTTTGGGAGGAAATGTTTTTGTTTTTTGTTTTTTACAGTCTGTCATCAGGGAAAGCCAAGACAGGCCCTCAAAACAGGAACCTGGTGGCAGGCCCTGAAGCAGAGGCAATGGAGTAGTGCTACTTACCTGCTTGCTCCCTTAGGGATTATTCAGCTTGCTAGATTACATAATTTAACCACCTGCCCTGACATGTGGGCTGGTCCCGCCCGCATCAGTCATTAACCAATAAAATGCCCTACAGACTTGCCTACAATCTTAAGGAAGCATTTTCTCAATGGTTTTTTTTTTTTTTTTATCTCCCAGGATGACCCCAGTTGTGTCTAGTTGACAAAAACAAGTACAAGCCCTTAGATGGTCAAGGTGAATTTGCTTCATGTTGTTTCTTTTCAGATAATGGCTCACTCTGTAGCAGATTCCCGCCCTGAACTCACGATCTTCCTCACTCAGTCTCCAGGGTGCTAAGATTGCAAACACAGACCACCATGCCCAGCCTTTGAGTGAAGCTGTTATGACACTAAGCTTGAAACTTAGCATACCATATGGAACATACCATGTGCTCCAAAAAGGTTAATGTTGCTTAATCCAGAACAATCTTTTTGTAATAATGAAGTCCACCACAAGATATAATAATGTAGTTCCCCGTCAACCAGAGGATAGCTGTCTGGAATTTTCTTATCTCAAGAAAAGCTGGAAGCCAAAGAATTGTAGTGAAAAGGCTAGGTATAACTCATTAGTCTTTTGCATAGTAAATGATTATACTCTGGCTAAATTTATGACCCTGAACTCATGCTTTAATTAGCTGAAATAGTGTGTATAGGGATGAATACTGTATAAAATTGCATAAAAGGACATAATCATAATTCATAAAGCAAACTCCTGTCTGATCTAGATCATTCAACCTTATTTTTTTTTCTAATCTAGAGATTTAGGGAGAACAAGCCAGCAGCATCAGGAGGCATCATCATCGTCATCATCATCATCGTCATCAGAAGCAGCAGCAACAACAGACATATGCACACCTTCTTCCCTGTTCACACGGGGGCACTCAAATAGCTTCTCTTTGAGCAAATGTTCCACTTATTCCAGAGGTTCCCTGTCCTCATATATTTTAGTCTCTCAAAGCTGTTCTCAGTAATAACTCTGACCCCTCCAGCACTGAAGGGAGTTTTGTAGATTAGAAAATTATGACCTTCCATAACAGCTTTCTTGTTTCAGGCTCCATCTGTGCCTAAATTTAGTATCTAATCAAGGTGTCCTCTGTGTTTCTAGATCAGAGATCTGTAGTTGTTACATTCCTACCACCATGAAGGTGCTGCTGCTGGCTGAGTCCAGATCTTGGGGTTCCACATTCTAGGACCTCTAGGAGGTTTGGGGACACAAACACAGGGGGCTTGGCTAAGTGGGGAGGGAATGCTTACCCATTGCTTCCTGTTGTGTTGTGAGCACAGCAGAATTAGCAAGAGTCTAAGGAATTTGCAACACACAGCTGACAAGTTTCAAGGGCCATGAGTACGGTGAGGAAATAGATGACCCTTTAACCCCACACAGCATCGTCATCTCACCAGGACATTCTCACTTACAGGACTGGGTATTTGCCAGAGTTAGCCTGCCACAAAGGACTAACAGCTTTTAAATAGACAATTCCAGAGGATTTAAAAACCCAAATACAAATCAGTGCTTTTGGTTTATGCTGACATTGCAAATGTAAGTGTTCCGCACGTCCGTAGTTTTACCTTATGTCGCTCATAATACTGGGAGGCACCAATTCCACCTTGTTCTTCAGCTGTCCAGAGCACCAAGCGCAGTGTTCTCTTTGGACGCAGCCCTGGGGGAATAGTAAAAGGCATTCTTCAGTTTGCTTTGAATGACTTTCAAATGGTGAAGACCTTGTCTGCACTATGGAGGTAAACAGGAATCAGAGGCACCTGTCTCTCATTGGCATGGACCCGGTCTCAGGGTTTGGATGATAACACAAGGTTGCAACTTCAGAGATAACCTCCAGGGCAAGGTAAAAGTAAAATTTGTAGGGTCTAGTGTATGGTCAAGTTCAGTGAAATGTTTGTTATACTATATTTGGAAGGCAAAATTAAAAGAAGCCTATGATTTTAAAGCCTTTCCAGAGACTTCAGCAGAACCTAGATCACTTAGCAGTACTTCAGGATAAGGTGAGCAGGCATTGCCTCTTGGTCTGAATCCACCAGCACAGTTTCTCATGCTCTCCCTAGGAATGTAACAACTAAGAAGCTGATGCAATGTCTGTGGTTACTCATGTACTGGAAAATATAAAGCCATTCCCTCAAGGTCAATGAAAATTAATTGAATGATTAGCCTGCCGTTTCTTCACATTACTTCACCAACAGCATGACAGCCCCTTCATGGGCCTGCAATAATCAGTGTGTAGAGATAGTCTCTGAGTCAACTTACTACTTTTCAAAAGTGATTGTATGAACAAAATATATAGCTATTTAGTAGAAAACCAACTTTGGATTCCAAGGCTTGGTTTTTTCTTGCACTAAGATAAACAGTGTGATCATTTCTCCTGTTACTGGACAGCAATATCAAGTCAGGTTCCTAGTGAGTCACATGATCACAAGGAATAACCATCAATGGTCTCCATGTTGTGGTGACCCCAACCATAAAATTATTTTTGTTGTTACTTTGTAATTGTAATTTTGCTAATGTTATGAATCATAATTTAAATAAATGTGTTTTCTTTCCAATGGTTTTAGGTTACCCCTTTGAAGGGTCATTTGACCCTAAAGGAGTTGGAACCCACAAGTTGAGAACCGTTGGGGTTTTTTTTTTTTCATCTTACAGTGAAGATGCATCCACCATTGTAACTGAAGTGCCTTTGCCTCTATTCTGAAGATTTTAATTAATGATAGATAGACCTGTCAGTCCTAGCACCTTTTTCTGGGTTACCAAGACTGCTCACTAATCATTAACTGCAGGAAGCTATTTTCTCAATTTTAAAAGCATTATAAAACAATCCCTTAGACGAGCCACTTTTCTATGAAGAATTAAAATTTCTTCTGTCTTGTACATGATAATTGTTGGTAAATCGCAAAGGGGAATTGTTGTGGATGATTGCGACACACTTTGAGTGGTGCTGAGACCTCCATGGTACCAATGTCAGGTATAACCACATGCCCACTGCTTCCCACAAGCCACGGTCTGGGTAGCACGTGCTCCTGAGGCACCAAGCTCCACCCTGCCCACTCCAGGCACTAACAGATTCTCCTTGCAGAAGCCTGGTGGTAAGAGTCCTACAGGAAAGAGCTCCAGTTTGCTTGAAGTGAATATAGCTGTGAAATCATTTCACACTGGAACATTAGGTGAAAGAACACAGGTCACAGATGCAGGCAGATCTGAGCTCCTGAGAAAGCCAGGACAAACCACCTCCTCAGAGAATCCTAGTGACTTCCCTAAAAGTCTGTCTAGAACCCAGCTCACTACTTCTGCTATGCTCTGGTCCAAAGTTCCAGCCCCATTACCTGGACTGTTGCAGACACCTCTGAATCATCTTGCTGCTACACACCCTCCCTCCCCTAGATGATGCTATACATTGTGGTGGGAAGAATCTTTGCAAAAGTGATGCCAGACAACATATTTCTCTGATCATAATCTCAAATCCTACAAGCGCCTGAGAGGCAACAATTTAGAGTTTTATTTATTTATAATTACAAGCATGGTGGGGCCAAGCCAGTAGAGATCAGAGTACAACCCATTGGTTCTCTCTACCATTTGGATCCTGAGGAACTAACTTGGGTGTCAGGCTTGGCAGAAGTGTCTTTACTCAGAGAACCGTATCCACTGGCCATGATATCTTATGTGTTTGGATGTTCTGTTTTCACTATATTTATGGTACCACATGTGTGCCTGGTACCCATGGAGGTCAGAAGAGGGTATCAGGTCACGTGAAGCTGGCGTTAAAAGATGATTGTGAACAATCTTGTGGGTGCTGGGAATTGAACTCCGGTCCTCTGGAAGAACAACCAATGGTCTTAACTGCTGACCTGTCTCTCCAACCTGATTTATAATTTACTGCTATATTTCCAGTTCTCAGACTATTTAGCACCCAGTAGGTACACATGGAACTAGTGAGTGAATGAATAAATGAATGCAAGCCTTGATGTTCAAGTAGGATAAAATTCAAAGCTGCTTTCCCAGCTACATGTCCTCCTAAAATGTTTCTTCTAGCTCATCTCCAGGAAAGGTTTTATTTATGAAAAAGGCAGTTATACCTAGTAAACCCTGCCGTTGCTGGGTGCTAGCCATATAACTACTGATGTAGTTGGTCTGCCTGAACCTCAGCCTTCTTGTTTGACGGGTAGAGATCATATTGTTGACCTGTGGTATAATTCTTCCTCTAGATGACTGGAGTGACACATGAGGAAAACTCTGAAGCAGGCATGTAGTTGACATTAATAAAAAGCTACATGATAGATGTCCAGAACAGAGCACACTTTCACACACACCCAGAGGAGAAGGGTCACTTTCATACTCAGAGAGGAAAGTATTCCAAGGTCTTTAAGCACTTGGCAAAGAAGAGGCAGAAAACTTAATATTTGTTCCATAATCAATTACCTGCTTACAGTCATCACATAAACCTAACAAACTTTTCAAAGAAAGTAATATAATCAGATTGCTAAAAAAAAATCTTTGTTTTCTTATGATAAATATATTTGGTGGAGGCAGAGAGACGACTAAATGGTTTAGAGCACTTGATCTTGTTGAAGACTTGGGTTTGATTCACAATGAACTAGAACTCCAATTCCAAGGGATTTGAAGTCCTCTTCTGCTTCCATGAGTAGCAGAGAAATACATGGTGTATATATACACACATGTAGACATTCACAAATACAAATGAAATAATAGTAAATAAATCTTAAAGAAAAAGAAATCCTTGATTTTTATCTGCACGCAAAAGAAAGTGAACTAAACTAGATGTAGCTTGAGTATAAAGAACTCAAAACCCACCCCCGTGGTGACACACTTCCTTGAACAAGGTCACAACTCCTAATAGCACCACCCCCTATGAGTTTATCAGAGCCAATTACATTCAAACCACCACAGATGCACTTGAAGATGATGTAAGTCAAATAACATTCTTCTTGTAACAAAGGAAAGAGTGATACGCACTAGTATAGCTTACAAAAATTCCAGTTTTCCACACATGGCTACAACGCATTCTGATTAGCCTTGCTTCCCCCCACCTTGACTCTTTTCACCCTCACACACCTTTCCCCTACAAAGTTCCTCCCCACTTTTTTGTTGTTTTCTGACCAACTGTCTTAACCAGAACCAGCTAAACTGTCCACTGGAGCCTGGTAGACTCACCAGTGGCTTCAGAACGGAGGACAATGACTTCTCCTCTCCCAGACTCTGTCAGCAACCCAGAGCTCAGCAATGAGTAATGAAGAGGACACTAAGACCTCCTTGCCACCCAAAGCTAACTGATGACATGGCCAGCCTTGTGAAGGCCCAGTGCAAGCCATTGCAGCCGCTGTAATTTCATGATTCCAAGGACCATGGCCTGTCTAGAGGATGGCAATTCACATTTTTCCTTCCTTTCCTCAGATCTTATATTCTTTCTACCTCTCTACCATAATATTGTTGAGCCTTACAGAGACCAAAGAACTGCCCTTCTTTACATTTCTCCGCAGCTAGTAGCACATGGTACCCTAAATTATTAAAACGATGGACTCCTTAAATAAGGATAAACAGACAGTACAGGACGCAAAAAATCCACTTCTTACAACATAGATGCTCGAAAGATCCCTGTAATTGAGTACACCATTTAAAAGTCATTATCACATAGGATTAGTCAAATTGATCAGCGGGCCAATGATGTCATCATATTAAGGTAGCACGGAAGTAATTCATTTGAAGTATTACATGTGGAGGTCTCCAAAGGACATTAGCATAGCTGGCCTTAAAAAATATAAACAGCACCTCTTTGAGTCCATGAGATACCCAACACACATTAGGAACATCAGCACCTACTTGAGAGGAAAGGGCTCCTAGAAGGACAGGAATCCAGGGATTTAGCAGACATCTAAGTGACTCAGAAGTCTCCTTTTTCTCTCACAGTCTGACTGAGACTAAACTGAGAGGAAAAAAAAATGGAATTTCATCCATTGACTTGTTCCCTTATGTAATGTGGCATTTTGGTTCTTAAATCCCTTAAACCCACAAGGAACTGTCCACCTGGAGTCTGAAGATCTGTGCCTCATCCCTGCTCTACCATGTCATTTTCTGGGAGGTTAGACAGACCACTTACCTAACATCTCCGAGCCTCAGAGGTTTCTTCAACATAATAAGAAAAATAATAATCATCTCATGTGGTTGTTAGGAAAATTAATAGGATAAGACATAAATAATATTACCTAACACATGTATCTGTCATAATGGTTGCACAATGCATGTATCATATTTAATGTTACATAGTATATATATATCAGTCTAGCACATCAGTCATAATTAATGTTACATAGCACATGTATCAATCATAGTTAATGTTAAATAACACATGTATCAGTTATAGTCACAAAGGATTCAGGGGTTGCTTCTTAGCTCTTCTCTGCCTAAATCTAGATGTCTTTGCACCTGATGACAAAAGTCTCCACAAATGGAGAAACCAGAACAAAACCTCTTGCTATGCCTTTTTCTCAGCAGCCTTAGGATACCTCTAATGTAGAGAATCCTCAGTCAAGGAAAACTCAGATCTCATTGAACCTGTAGAAAACACAGCCTCTTTTAGTGTGAGATGCATGTACACCTGAGCATGAACAAGTTCAGTTACAAATAAACACAAGCAACTTC